CGTGCCTAGTGTATAGTATAGTGACACAATAAAGGCTCGTGTTTTCGCGCGATACGAGATATCATTGTTGACAGAGATCAGGCATATAGAGTACACTATCCGTGTGACTGAAATAGAGGCGAGCTGAACAGTGTCGTGAAGTAGTACAAGTATGGGTTGAGGTGCTCACTTTATGTTTTGACTTTCAAAGTCGAGCACATGTGAGTACTCGACCGAAAAGGAATAGCCGAGACAGGGGTTTTGTTTGAGGACAAATTCGAAACAAAGCCCGAGCGCGGTGGAAACATACCTCGAGAACGCTCGAAATATGCCTCGAGCACGGTCGAGCACGGTCAAAACATACATCGAGCACGGTCAAAAAAACCGATGGTTCTGTGGTAACTCAGAGTAAAAATGAAAACTTTCTTTTAACAACTACATTTATTTTCAACAATTTTCTACATTTTTTAAAAACATTTCTGAATCAAATTGGAAACCAGTATTCCAAAAGATGGAAAAAGCTAGATCAAAAATGTGTCAACCCTAAAAATTGTTCAAATTGCAGATATCTTGGATACTTTTATTGTGATGAAAAAGCATCATACGATGTTACCCGAAAAGTATAAATTATAGCGCTTAAATTTGGATAAATCATGCTGTTTGAAAGTCGAAACATACCCGAATTCGGTCGAGCACAGTCGAAACATATCTTACTTGTGCCAAGCACGGTCGAGCACATTTGGTTTGGTCGAGCACCTCGACCAGTGGTTTTACAATAAATATATGAAACAAAAAATAAGAACCGTTGCCTAAACCATTGATTCAAACTGAAAAAAAAACAATAATGGAGGGCGGTAAATTGAGACCAAAAAAAGACACAAACACTGATATCGAAAAAACAGGATCGCAACTCTTCAACTCTCGGAACGAGGTCGTGGTTATGTGTTCAGATCGTTGGGAACAAAATTTGGTGTGATCAGACCATGGGGATCACTAAATTATGCAATTCAAGTTACCAAAATTTCGAATGTGTACATGAAAAAATGGATTGCCTGTTTTTCAGTGATGAAAATTTTCGTTTTCTCAACAAACAAAAATTGTTTTCCTGATATTTTTTGTTTCTTTGAAAACTTTACCGGCCCTGAAAAGCCGTCTTTTTATTTCATAAATCGGTTAAATTTTTTGAGTTTTGTCATATCGCGGACTTTTGCGTACTATCAATCAGGTCTGCAGTCATCTTAATGACTTGCACGCTGCCGTTGAGAAGTTTGTAGATAGCTCTATCCACTTGTAACAGTGCATTAATTCAGGAGTACTTCGTGCATAGTGTGTTTAGACTATGAACACTTATGTACAGACTTTGCAGACTTATGTTTGAGCTGTGTACAGATTTTGAGCTGTGTTGAGATTACAAATGTTAGATTCCAACGCGGATCGATTCCAGTTAATGAAATTGGAACATAAAATCATGACCTCGACCCGGGCTACTGGTTTAAAGAAAGCATGATGCAGAAAAAAATTAGAGCAAATGCCACCTTAAAAATATCCGAACGAAACAAAAAACCTCAGCGTTCACAAAAAACGATTAGTTCAACGACAAAAAAAAATCCTGTTTTCTTCCTTCAATGCGAGAGGAATCAAGAAAGTAACTAAAATTGGGTAAACCATTCAGAAATTTAAACAAAAGTTCCAGAAAAATATTTTTGATTGCGTTCTAAATCGTTTTTAAAAAGATTATATGATTTCGATGATTTGAAAAACAACTTAGGTTTCAGAATCGACAACAAGTCCTCACGCCAGCCAATAAAATACTTCTTTAGTTGCCCTGAGTGTGTACACTCTTTTTTATTGCCCCTGATTTTTGAAAAAATACATCTAGTAATTGAGAAAAATCAAAATTTCAATAGAAAAAACTTCTATTTTATGAACGATGTCTTCGCAGTACAAGAGACACGACGAAAGATTCATTCTTATCAAAAGTTTGAAAAAACACTTAATTTGGTTGTTCTGATTGAATGATAATCTCATTCTGCAATGGAGAAAAAACAACCATCAACGGTTAAAACATGTTTTGCAAGATACCTATAGTTGACAATTTCTTTGCCAATCGCGGGTGAAACAATTGGAAACTTATTGCAATTGTTTTGAGCCCTACTAGAAAACAAACTGGAAGGCCATATTGGAGCCATGATGGATCATAACATTTGCTAGATTTGACATCTACATCAAAACAGGATGAAACTGACCATTCTTTTACTCACACTTGGTAACGCTCATGTGATGAGGTAAATAAAACAAGACATTAAAACGATATGGATATTCAATTTACTCGTCTTAATTTCATATCGTTTTAATGTCTTGTTTTATTTACCTCATCACATGAGCGTTACCAAGTGTGAGTAAAAGTGTGAGTAAAGATGGGACTTTAAGACGCAATTCTGCAACTTGGATATTCAATTTACTCGTCTTAATTTCAAGTTGCAGAATTGCGTCTTAAAGTCCCATCAAATGCGATTGTCGTCTTAACTGCTGTCGTCTTAGCAGCTGTCGTCTTATTTGCCGGATACCCGCTCGAGTGTTATATAAAAATCCAAAAGCAACAAAACCAATGAATGAACTGTTCGACAGTTTTAGCCAGTAAAGCCGATTAATAATCAAACTCAGACGAAGCTGAGTTTTATCGAAGCTGAGTTATATATATTTTTTGCGAAGCTGAGTTTCATGAAGCCATTGAGAAAAACAATGCACCCCCACAAAATCATAAACCCCCTCCCCCAAAGCCTACCAATAAATAACCCCCATAAAGGGGAGCGAATGGCGGTTGTGGTAAACTGGCAGGGAGGTGGGGGTAATGTGTGGAGGGGGGGGGGGGGTAAACGGGGGTGTAAACAGGGAGGAAACGGGGGGGGGGGGGGGGGGGGGTTAAACAAAGGGGGGTGTAAACAGAGAGGGTATAAACGGGGTATATAAGACAAAAATTATAAAAATTGGAAAGAGAAATGTAACATTTGATGAAACTTAATACGTAGCAACTGCACTAAACAGGACATGCGATAACTTTGAAAAAAAAAATTGTAAATTTCATGACTAATCTATCGAAAAACTCCATTATAAATGATTATAACCGATTATAAGGGATTATATTGGCATAAAAAATATAAGAACTAAAATCCATTTTTAATGGATTATAATCGATTATAATCGATTATAATGGAGTATAATGATAAAAAAATAATGGGTTATAATCCATTTTTGGTGGATTATAATCGATCACTTTTGTATTTTTATATATACTGACTATAAAATGACAATTTAATCGATTATTATTCATGGAACTCCAGTGCGGGTAATAACTGCCTACTACCGGAAGCATCAATGTAAATGGCTGACACAAACGTTTTAACCGAAATTTCGAAACTCGTTGAATCTAGCAATATTTAGCTTATCAATGCTGATCAAAAATTATAATCACATGTAAATGTTAATGTAAAAACATAAGAAAATTTCAGTTCTCTTATAAACTTAATCGGCTCCGATTCGAAAACTTTTAGCGGTAAAGTTTTGGAGCAACTTTGAATAAAATAGCAAAAAAAATACATCACTCATTTTTTTAAGTAGTCAGAGATTCTTTCAGCTTAATAAAGGTTGCCAGGAATAATTATCTGCACACAAGGTTATTTATAGAAACGAATGATTTTTGAGCCAAAGTATTGTTGTGGAACGATAATTACAACAAAAATATCCTTCACCGTTAATGGTATGTTTTGATATACAAGGGCACCAACATTTTTTTGTAGGAAACTCAAAAAAATCTAGTATATTCAAAAACTTTGCGTGATAGTATGAGCGTGCAACGATCTAAAATGCACAAAATAACAACCACTGGAAACGCTTTTTTTTATCACAGGCAGCTTTTTCAGGGGTTTGCTCCTCAAATATATCAGAGTTAAATGTCATATAAATTCGAAAAAAAAGAAGATATCGAGTCGTAGATTTGTAGAACACTTGTGGATGCTCCATTCTTTTGAGAAAGCTGAAGAAAAATAGATTTCAGACAGAATTAGCCAAAGACTAACGAAACTTGTTCACTAAAAAATACCGTCAAAAAAGTGATACTCATTTATTTTTTGTCGACTTCCTTGAAAAGCTTAGAAAAATTTGTTCTTTGTCTGCCTTTGACAGAGGCAAAGTTGGATTATCTGATCTAGCATTGAAAGTCGCTCCAGCTAATTTTTTAATTTTGAAATCACACACACACACCCACACATCCACACACATACAAGCTCTCTTACGTCCACCAAAACGCGCCTACCCACACAAACCAACACAACACTTACACAATCACATGTAGACTAAAATTTTTACTCGTGCAGTTTCCTGGAAAAAAACTTGCAATGCATCTTCTTACTACATAAAATTGTGTGAATCTCAGGTAAATATTTCTTATAGATGAAAATTGCACGGCTACCATGATTTGTACATGTGAAATAAAAATGTTACAAAAACTCATTGGTTATGATTAAAGGTTGCACTAAATGCATTAAAAAAATTGATCATCTAGGTTAATGTATCGAATGTCAAGGACAGTTTGTTTAAAAACTAAACAATTTGAAAAGTTTTGACTATGAAAAACTCAGGTTTGAAAATTGTGGCGGTGGTTCGACAAATTTAGGCCATACATGAATACCATTTAAAAAACAAAAGTTAAAAGAATCTGGCTTCACATTAACACCTTAAGTAATTTTTTGTGAGTAACTGAGTTTGGAGAAACAGACAAACTTTTAAACTTTTGCAATATACGTTTTTCTTCCAACTTCATTTATGGTATTGTTTGATAAGCATTTTTTTTGCTTGATACGAATTTTTCTAGCATGGACTCTTATGATACGCATTTTTATCGAGGTTGATGACCCGAGCTCGTACACTAACAATACACACACTTACATTAAAACACATTTAGACACACACACACACAATAAATATATTCACCCACAAAAGATTTCCAATGGACTAATTCTCACCAGTTGCATCATGTTGGATGCCTTTGGGAGAGGGTTTATCCAGTTGTGACTCTTGGACTGTGGACTGGCTCTATACTGGTTCAACAGAGCCAGCAGTAAATCCTTCTCCCCCTGCTCCAAATGACCTCCCGTAGCAGACAGGGCAGACACCCCCAACAGAGATGAAGATGAAGATGTAAAGAAGGGGACTATATGTCCCCCCATTGAGAACGGGGATGATAAAATTGTGATGGGGAAGTATAAAAAGTTGGACCAAGGGCTTAAAGTCAGGAAAATAAACAGAATGTTGTCAAGACACTCCATGTTTTGGCGATGCCGTGTTTTTTTTTGTAGTAGATTTGGAACAGTCGAAAAAAATTAGGTCTATTTAATTATATTTCTTATAAAACTCGAGTTTTTGTGCTACTAGAACTCAGTTTAAGGTTTGATGTTGCAACAAAAAATCAGGTTCAAAAAAGATAAGTAATTTTTTTTGAACTATTTAACTGATAATGGCCCAAAGTCGAATGAGGACGACAGCAGGCAAATTCCATTCGATTAATCCGATTTATCTTGTTTTAAAAATAATATTATATGGCACAAAATTGACCTCTTCAAGTTAGAGAATCAGATTTAAAAATTATGGCGGTAATTGTATGAACACTTCAAAATAAGTGAGTGTAAAAAGGCTGCAATTTTAGGGAACAAGGGTTCTTCAATTAAGAATTTTGACTAACGTTTTCATCAGACTAATTGCCAATAAATACGGTTTGTAAATAACCAAAAAAAAAGATGAATATTTAAATCTAAACCGAACAGCAAATGTAAATTACAGTAGGTAAAAATATAGAAATTTTTAGGCCCCGGTTTGGAATTGGGTAGACAAAATTTTGGGAATATGTTGGACCACCGGACAATTTTCCAGCTATTTTTGGTTATCAAAAGTGATGATAGATTTGGCTGCTTAATTGACGTCTAAAAATATCCAATTCCGTTTTGGAAAATATGAAAATAAGCTAAGCTTTTTTTAGAAGTTCAATTAATTTTGGACAAATTGATCGAACCGAAAAAAATTGGGCCAAACAGGTCAATATTCAAATCTGACTGTAATGTGTCGTTTAAAACAATTTTGCGATGGAATTGACATGTGACTTGTAATAAAATTGTTGTATTTGTAATGTAGGTGTATTTAGAAGTAATTTGTAGTCTCGTAATTTTATGCTGTTGGCTTAATTTTTTATGGAAAGTGATACTGAATTATATAAGAAAATTATGGAGAAAAAGTTATGATTTTTGTAATAACTGGATAAGGCCGGACACTGATTCAAGTGCAAGAGGGAAGGGAAAAAAGAGGTTTCTTCTAGTTTGGATTTCCTTTCCTTTTTTAGCTCCTCTTTTGCAGCAAAACTCGATCGACTATTGGCTAATATAATAACACTATTAATAAAAGCAGGCATTTCTGCTTCTTTTTAAACTTGTAAATGTAGTTTTTTTCTCGTTCAATTTTGATCTACGCCCAGCATCTAACCTTTTTTAGCCCTGAATTTGAGATCAGCCGGTGGTATAATGAATGAATTAATTTTGGGTGGTTATTTCTGCTTGGTCTCGGCGGTCGGGCAGTTTACTTGATTTATATGTAAGATCATTGCTATATAGATTGGTAATGGACTCTAAATACTCTTTAATTTTTTTATTTGGGTCGTCTCGTTTTGACTCAAATTACACCCACCCACATGTAGAGTAAGAAAAAGATCAACCCGTAAATCACAAAACAGAAAAATTTCCAATTTCACTATTTTTTCAAATATAACTACTTTACATTCATTTTACAGTTCAATTGCTAACTGTTTTTTTCGTCCTTTGAAGGCCCGGATGTAGTGCTAAGCAAAACGATAATAAACAGATCTCATCATTCCAGTCCATCACTTTGAGTGGTAGATCAAAAAGCAAAATACAACATTTCTCTCGCCTTTTGTGGAAGGTACACTCACGTTGAAAATGTCTGATCAGTTTTGTTTTTAGTTTCCAGCCACCCACTTTTTGTTTCTACCATGTAAAATATGGTGAGGATATTTGTATTTGGGTGTGTTTTCGTTTTTTTTTCTTTTTTTTTCAATTTTTTTTTGGTTTCCACGCAAAAGCAGCTACCACAAAAAATCATCGGAGATAGTTGAGTGAAATATCAATTTGAAGCCCTTTTTGTCGTGATGTGAAACGTTTTTTAAAATTTTCAAAAAACTTTCCCAGTGTCGAGAAAATTTTGGCTGAAAATTTGAAATTTTCGTCTAAATTCGAGTGAGGGAACAGGCTTACAATGCTTTATTTAGTAGCTTAAAAGCTTGCACTTGCTTAGCCTAAGCGGTAACAACTTAGTTTTACTCGACTAAAAGTAGTTTTTTGAGTATTCTAGGGCTTTCTGGAAAACAAAAACGTCAAAAATCCAAAACACTGCAAAAAAAATTTTCGAAGTTTTTTTTTCAAATGTTCTAGCTTTTTTGCTTTTTTGCTATCACTGTCGAATATGCCTATGTTCTAGTTGTTAGTCAGATTCTTTATCACAACTCGCAGAAAATACAACTATAAATCGAAAAAATGGCGTCTTTTTTAAGACTTTGAGAAGTGTATTTCGGGACAATCGAGTCTTGCGGTGAAGGGGGAGGGGGTGCTGACCGCCATGTAATAAGATACGTTTCACAGTATCCGGTCAGCACCCTGTGTTTAACTTAGGTAAAGTATTTCCCAATGTATTAAGGAGGTTATTGTTTTTTTTTATTTTCCTTAAAAAGTTTCAAAAATGTATCAGGTACCTTTTGGCGCATAGATGTATCAATTGGCCGCATAATATACCATTTTACTTCAGATTCTCTTCCAATTTTAAAGGTTCAGTATGTATTCCATCACATTCAACTTCCCGCTTAGGGTAAAAACAGCTGTCCTTTTTTAGTTTGTTTAAAAATTTCAACTGCATGGTTAATCGTTTTAAATCCTCTATTAGTTGACTTCAAATTCACTGCCTTATCTAGTACTTGTCGATACTTTGCAATCGGGCCATCTCCGAGGTCTTCTAATGCTCGTTGGTTCAGTTCTTTACCGCTAAATTTATACGTTTGATTTTTACTATCGTAACACAGGAATTTCTAGTGCGGGGGCACAACATTTTGGTGCATCTGAGCTCACTCTTGACCATTCCTGGCTCCCTCTTGTCCTGTTTTTGTATATGGAGCAGCAAGTGCAAGGAAAAAATCCGTTTCTTGTTTTTCAGCCAATTTTGTTCACTTGCTGGGAAGGATATGTTCAAAAACAAATTCTGCCGAAGCCAAACAGAGAAACTCTGACTCCATTACGAGTTCTTCAAACTTGTTAGCGCAGCAAAATCATCGGAAAAGTTATAATACAGTTCCAACAATCTCATCTTGTGGTATAAAAAATCTGCACACTGTACTATAAAGAACCCTACTATATTCGGTTCACGATAATCTATGATAGATGTAACAAGCTGCACTTCAGACAAGTCGTGTAGCCACAATTTAGAGCCTCTTTGAGAAGTGGTTGTTGATAGCTTAATCGCTTTTATCGTCAGCAAGATACTTTGTAATTGTATGCTTTGATCTGTCCATTATTTGATAGCCATAGGACTTTTATTTCCTAGATTTTTCATTGTTTCTGCTACTATACCAGAAAAAGTATTCTCATAATTGAATGGCCTAGCATCAACGAAATATTGAAAAAAACGGTTGATTACTTTATGTGGAAAGTGTTGTACCAATTGTTGAGCTTTTGTACACTGTAGTCCAAGATCAAAGTAAAAACGACTCGCATCAATTCCGACGATTGATATACACAAGTTGTTTGAGGTTTGAAGATTCGTTTGCTACTGCCTTTCTTGTGGAAACAATTGAGCGACCACCGGTTATATCTCCCGTATTTTCTCAAGCAAGTATTTATCAACGAGAAGAAGGGGTAAAAATTATAATCAGTTGACAAAAGTAGAAAGATATGCGATAAATTTGCAAGTCTTATCTTGTTTATTCCTTTATCATGTTGAAGATTGATCATATTTTGCATAGCTTCAAGGCTCTGTAGCCCTGGTAGGAGGAAAATTTTTGTTGTGATACTACCTCGTATAGAAAAATTGCGAACTATTGACATAATTTCCTGTTCCCAGATAGATTTCACGTCATTTTAATTATACAGCCCCGTAGGTGGTTTAGTTTTTAGCCCAAGTTTTTTCTTTGCCTGCTCTTCAGTTAACCCCGTGTTCAGAAGTTTCTGAAAATCGTCTTAATCTTCATCGAAAGGGTTGCTTTTCTCAGCCTGCTAAAAAAGTCATCAAACAGAGGTAGTTGTTGTTCATCGAGATTTGTTGGAAGTAACAAACCTTTTGTGTGGAAAGTATCGTTTAATCTTGTAGGCTTTGTAAGCCTTAAGAAAAAAGCTTAAAACAGTAGCTTCACCCAAAAACTTAATAAATCTTAGAAGCAGAATGTCTCCAAAAATGAACGAAACAAAATCTTTGATTTTCTTGTTAACTGAAGGTTCAGTTTCTTTTTCGTTGACTACGTTAGGGTGAGATATGCTATAGTTAGTTTTGTATCGTGCCGACCACTGTTGTATCCCAATACTGGTAGATTATTACTGTAACTCTTTAGAAGTTGCATCAAATCAATCAATTGAATAATTTCTGTTCTGAGAAAGTGAGTGGATTTGTCCGTTTCTTCCTCGTGCTTCAAAAAATTGTCTTCGTACTCTCTTGCTTCATTTTTATTCAAACTACTTTGATCGTTAAGGACGGTAAAATTCTGATCTGATCCTTTTCCGTGGTTATTTTAAATTTTCAGAACTTTTTATCGCATCTCCGCTTTGTTTTTGTTAACAAAAACATTTCCACTTTGCAACAATAACGTTTGTATTGCGGGATTGTAGATGTTTGTCTTGGGTTTTGGATATGGGTTATGGATCGAATTGTATGAAGTTGGTACCGAAATGGTTTCATCATTCCCAATCCAATTTTTTTCTCGGTTTCAATACATAGGAGGGTACGCAAACTGATTCAAAAAAGAAAATGACAACATTTTCGATGAAGTTGCTCTTTCGTATACTCAAAATTGAATCCAACCAATTTTTCAGATAACTTCTCACCTAAAGTGTAAACGTGGATAAATGTTTTGACTTGGTCTCTGCAGCAAAAAAGGTGACGGTTGAAGTGGTCTGCCTTATGGAAAAATGAATCGCAAATTGGGCATTTGAAGATGTTGTCGATTTTGTTGAGGTAATTATTATGTTTGTTGTATTGTTTCAGTTTCATTGTATTCCCAAATCTACCGATACTTCTCCAAGCTAATTAATCCTTAAAACTTCCATCTTCAATGTCGACATCAAAAACGAAGATGCTTTTATCTATTACAGCTGTAACTATTGGCAAACTACCCATCGAAACTCAAAAAAACAATTTCGATTCGCATCCCAATTTTTCGAGGAAATCATTGAAGATTCTCGAAGTGGATATTCCAAGATTGGTTTTTCCATGCAAACAAACTGAACGCGCTCGAAACATACACAAGTTTTCATTGTATATACTTTATTCTGTATAGCTGTCAAAACTGCTTCAGTGCAAAGCAGCATAGATTTATGGAAGAGTGTGTACTTTTCATGAGCCTTATGAGCAAAAAACGATATTAGCCTGTTTCCATATTACGTAATACAAATCCCAAGGCAACGTTGATTTTTGCGCCGCAATCAAGTTTTTTAAGATCTAGTTTCGAAAATTGAAAATTGGATGATTTGTCGCGTCCTTTTTTTATCTCGGTGTCTGACAAGAAGTGTTAACAAGCATTCAACTCATCTTGTAACTAGTCTCCTTCACTATCCTCCTTGGTTTCCAAAATTTCAGTCAAATCAGCAACCGAATGTTGGTCTGAACACCGAAAAATGTGTGCAGGAATTTTTATCAATTTTTTTATCGTAATCCAACTAACGACTGAAAATAGACTGAAATATGACTGAAAGTGATTGAAAAATGACTGATATAGTTGACGCCTACAAGTTTTTTGGCTCAGTGAAACTTAGGAGGCAAACACTTAATGCGAGAGATCGAAACTTCGAAATTTTTAAATCTCACTACAATTTAGCTTCTTTTTATTTCTTTTTTAGAAGCAAAGTGGAACTTGCTGGAAAAAGATTCAGGACTACAGCGTCTGTAAAAATCAAAGCATTAATTCAAAAAAGCTTGCAAAGCGCAATGAAATGATATGCAGCAGGGTCGGATCTAGGATTTTCTCGAGGGGGGATTTCAAAAAAAATGCAAACATTTTGTCGACCTTTTTTTAGGTCGACCAATTTGATTTTCTGAGCTCTACCAAATCACTATAAAGACCTATCTACCAAATCATATATGCAGGCTGCTTA